TGCAGGACTCTGTGTCTAAGAATTGCTGAAAAGTGGTTTAGGGCCTCACTTGCTTCATCTGAAAATGGCAAAAGGCAGTTTTAAAGGAGAAATTAATTTGATGAGCTTCATTTATATAGAACCATGTCTGGCATATGGAGCGTACTCAATAAATAGGAGTTATTTCAAGTAAATTGTTTTTTTGAGGCAAGTTCTCACTTTGTAGTGCAGGATGATCTTGAACCCCCTTTGTAGCCTTGGCTGACTTTGAACTCGTGTCAGTCCGCTCACTTGAGCCTCTCAAGTGCTGGGATAACAAGCCCACACCACCACACCTGGCTCCCAAGTAAACTCTGAAGACTCCCTGATTTGGCTAAAGACTTTCACATTTCATTGCCTCGGGGTTCCTGGCTTCTTGCTATAGACCCATATTCTGACATGGACTGCATAGGTGTGTGTCGTTTCTAAGTGGCAGAGTGACTGTGGACTGGCTAGAGGTACAGAGGTCTGAGGCTATGATTCAAGTGGGCATCTGTGATGTTGCCACGTTCTGCTCTCATGAAAATGAAGATGAGCTTTCTGCTTTTTTTTTTGAGGCAGAGTGTTGCTATGTAGTTCAGACTGGCCTTGAACTCACTGTGTAGCTCATGGTGGCCTCAACTCATAGTGATCCGACTGTCTCAGCCTCCTGAGTGCTGGGATTACAGGCATGTGCCACCATGCCTGGTGCTCTCCAATCTTTTAAATGAAAGAATACTGATGGAACAATGACTCCATTTTGCTTACTCTCAGCTGTCCATGTTATAGTATCCAGAGTTGAAAGAAATAAATCTAAAGGGTCATCTGTTTGGTCACAGACAGAAGGATTCCTGGTGGCCAGTCTTCACCAGGACATGTTTGGGGCGGCTGTGGTTTCTCAGCGCTGTGTTGGGGATGGTTTCATGGCAGGGTCAGGGTGAGGGGCTGAGTCTGACCTAGGCCCTGCACAGTCCTGCCCTCTGGACTACCCGTGATGGCCTGAGAGAGGAGCTCCTGACTCACTCAGGGCCTGCCTGGATCTCATTCCTAAGGATTCAGAACTGGCTGCAAGCAAGTCAGGCTCTGCATGGGGCTAGTTTAGAAACACATGATCTTGGGAGCAATGACAGGTAAGGAAAATGAGGGACAGCAGGGCTGTCTGAAGCTGGCTTTTATTTTGGAAGCAGCCAGACCATGCTTTAGACCCCTTGAGGGCTCTTCCTGGGCCTCATCATGTGTTTTAGACTTGGGTTGAAATACTGGTTTTGGTCAGCTGCAGTGAAGAGTCCTAATTAATGGCACTGCTTGAGAGAAGGAACTCTGCCATAAAACTAAAGGGAGATGACTGTGGTCCTCCACAACAGAGCTCTAGAGCCAGAAGGCTGCTAGGGAGCCTCGGTCCCTCAAGCCTGCACAGTAGCTGCTTTCTTTGCCTGGGACTCAGGTGTGAGGAGTCTGTAGTGGCTGGGTGGGCTGAACTGCCAGCTCAATGGAGTCAGCCGGTGTCCTCTTGTGGGAGATAGACCAGCAGAGCATAGTGTCATGGATACCAGAAGCAGTTCACCAGTGGTCCTATGGGCTTATAGCCATCTGCCTCTACGTTCACCCCAGGCTTGAGAACCTGCTGGTGGGAGAAATGACACCCCATATGGGAAGGGGACTCTCATAAAGATAGACAATGGCCTAGTGCAAGGCAGTGCCACCATAGGTGCCATAACTGAGACCTCGAAAGCCATTCCACTTGCCGACTTTAGGACCATGGGGACTGCATTGTGGCAGAGGGATGCCCTGGTCAGAAGCAGAGCTGTGGGGAACACTGAGGTGGGTAAGTCCTAGGCTTTGACAGAAACATGTATGAAGGAAGATGAACACATATCCCAGTAAGTGTTTATTCCAATGGGGGCAAAATGGCACCCGTCCCATGATGGAAGCAGCTCAGGGTGACCAGTCACCACCAGGAAGCTGGATGACCCACCCTTGCCCCCTGAATGCACACAGCTGGGGCTTGGTTGTTGGTCTCTGCAGCTGGCGGTGGGGTGGGGCACTCCATGGTGCGGTAGCCAGGTCTCCCACAGGAATAGTCTCCATCCTGCTGCCATATCCACTGTGTGCCTGAGCCTGCTGGGCAATGACAGTGACTGGGAAGAGGCTGGCTGTGTGCATGGACCGTGTGGATTATCCGAGACCTCTGTGGAGGTCTCCTTTGGGTGACCATGCACACGGGACACAGATGTCTGCCCTTGTTTTGATCCATGCAGGGAAGCCTGTCCACACCTCTTCTTCGGATCTCTTTATCACTAGTTCTCTGGTCATATTCCCTTCAAGTCCCTGTCCACTGAACCAGGCCACAGCCCATGAGTCAGTGTATACTGCACTTCCAGTGATTTCTGCTAAATGGCAAGTTCTCTTCATGGAGTTCTGCCCACTGGGAGAGATTCTTATCACCACACTTGCTCAGGGTGTCCTCCAGAAGGGCTGTAGTGCTGCATCTGTCTGCTTCCAACAGGAAGAGCCTATCATGCAGAAGCCTCTGTGAGCCAGGCCAGCATTTCCTTTCCTTCAGTTAACTGACTGTAGGGGAATCCCCAGGAGGCCACAGTGCGGCACAAGGGAAGAAATGGGACTCTGGGAATCTGGGCTATTTCTTCCCGTGGCTTACTTGTGACACTGGGCCCTGTTCAAGCCCGATCTCTCATGCACTACTCCTATTTGATGTCTGGGTGCACACCTAGATTTATGGCTTGGTGGATGAGAACCCAGTTTGTGATGGGCATTTCAGGTCTCACTTGGTGCCCCAGAGTGAAGCTTTGGAGTAAGCTTAAAGGCAGAGTGGTTATCTATGAGGACAGCAGGGCTTCACATGTGCTGAGGACATGTGCTGTGACTCACTCATAAGGCCCTGACATGGATGGACTACAAACAGTGGCACCAGATCTGCTTCCTGCCTACAGCAGCCTGCCTCAAAGCTAAGTTTGTAGCAGAGGCTGCTTTTTCATGGGTTCTGTTCAAGAACCCAGTGGGTTTTGTTTGTTTGGTTTTTGGTGCTGGTGTTGGAACTCAGGGCCTCACACATGCAAGCTTTAGTGCCCTACCAGCCCCATAGCAGTTTTTCAAGTCATTTGGCAAACAGGCTGGAATGATTACTCAAATGAACTATGTGTTGTTTCTAAAATCTAAAGAGATGGTGCATCACTGGTTTTGCATTTTAGTTGTAAGAGAAGGAAGATACAGAATGTACCCTTCACCTTGGAAGGGCAATCTTAACATGCCCCACATCTCAGGATCCCTAGAAAATCTACCACCTGGAAGGCCCTTCCAACATGTAAATATATCACCAGGAAGTCTCATTCACTGGGTCCAATCAGCAAATGTCCTCAGCATAATAGACCAGAGTGGCCCCTGTGGAAGGGAAGGGCAGCTGGAAACTCCAGGACTCAGTCATAAGTAGTGACAGAGGGTCTGTGACCCAGAGATTGGGCAGTGCCAGTGTGCTACTGCTCACCAGGGACAGCAAGGGCTTCTGATGGTCTTTGCTACCAGGTACAGAAACATTTGCCAAATCAGTAGCTATATTTCAGGCAGCAGGGGATGTGTTAATTTGCTCAAGTAATGAAGCCACCTCTGCACCTTAGCTGCAATAAGACTTAACCACTCAGTTAAGCAGTAACAAGACATTGTCATTTACCAAGATTAATCTGTTTTCTGCACACAGGCTGGTTAGGTGAGTTGTGCAGCATTTGGTGGGAGTCACTATCTCTGCATCCTTCAAGGCCTTGATGGTGGCTTTGGCCCTTTTAGTATACCAGAGCAGTGCTGGCGTTTTGACTTCTCTTAGCTAGGGTCACCTCTTGGTCTGTGCTTGAGTCAAACAATCATGAATCATATCTATTCCCGATCATGCCAGCTACTACAATGAACCCAGAATCTCTGCTTAGGGTCTGCAGCAATAAGTTCACTCTGATCCAACTGTGTGTTCCTTCCTTCCCCCCAGACCCCACACCCTCAGTAATCACCTCTTACTCTGCCTCATAATGCTTTCTAAGCACAACTGTGCCTTTAGTCATCTGGTCCTCATTTCTCCAAGGCCTTGAGCCTCCTTTGGTTTTTTTCCTTCTGTAATTTAAACATTTTTAATTTTTATTACATGTTTGCAGTACATAATGATTACTTCATGAGTTGGCACAGGTACATAACACATCTTAATTCTTTTTGCACCACTTTCTCCTGCCTTTCCATATCCCTTTTCTCCTCCCCTCTCTTGATCCCCTAACCCATTTGTAAAAGATCTCCTTGTTTACTATAATCTTTTAATTTTGCTCTTTATTTATATTTTAGGTTTCTCATATAGGAGAAATCATGCAATATTTAACCTTGTGTGTCTGATTTATTTCACTTAACATTATGCTCTAGAGATGTCTCCATTTTCTCTGGATTTCTACCCCCAGCTCCTGCGAGGCTTTCTGCCAAGCCTTTGGCATCTGTAGATTTCCAGCTTGCGGGATTACCTTCCTACTCAGGGGTGAGACCTGGAGGAAGGAACCCCTGTGCACTTTCCACCCCAGTCAGGTTCTCAGGCTGGTGCTCTGTTGAGGGAGCCAGCCGGAAGGTTCCAAGAGCTCAGCCTGGACCACAGCCCGGTCCTCCGGCTGGCCCAGTGCAGCGCGAAAAAGTCCAGTCACACTTCACTTCTGAACAGCTGCCCATCTCACTAGGTGGCCCTGTCACCTTCCGGCTTGGGTTCGCCACCCCAGTACCCTGTGTATGGGTGCGTCCTCGTCCTCCCCTCCACCACCTCCAGATCCCCGGTCACTTCCTGAAGCGGGGAGGCGCCTCGCACCCACCCGGACCCCCAGCCTATCCTTCCCGGGCGCCGCCCCACCGCACTTCCCCTCTCGTTTTTGCCCGGAAAAGAGCCAGAGCCAAAAGCGAACTTCCCGAGGTCGCGAGGTTCCGCTCCCGCCAGCAGCGCCTGGCCGCGCGCGTGTGTGCGTGCGTGGGTAAGCGCCCGGGCCGGGTAGGAAACGCAGCCTCGGCGGGCGGCGGGAGGAAGCAGCCGCCGCAGCCCCCTTCCCGCGGCCCTGGGCGGCGGGAGCATGCCGGGCGGGGCTCCCCGGGGCGCCCCGGGCGCCGGCGGCCACCGCGCAGGTAGGGCGGGGTCGGCGCGCAGCCGCGAGTCGCGCAGGTCGGGGAGCCCCTGTAGAGTGAGGGAGGCCGAGGCGGGGCGGCAGGGCAGAGCGGGCCTCGGGCCCCGCCAAGCGACCGGCGGCGACGCGGCCCCACAGCCGGCGAGTCCCTAGCCGGTCTCTCTCTGGTGGCGCTGCACCCCAGCCCCGTCCCACCGCCGCGGGACTCCCGGGGAAGAGGGGGCGAGCTCCCCCCAGCTGCTGGCGCCCGGCCTCCCCGCCCACTTCCTACTTGGGTCGGTGCCGCCGCGGCTGAGCGTGGGCCTCCTGCCAGCCCTCGGGGGTGACCTCGAGTTGGGGGCTGGCCGCGTTCACCAGTGACAGGACTCGTCTCCTCACCCTTAAAACAAGCGCAGGGTGCTTAGGGTTTTCTTGGAGAATGAAACGTGGAGTTAGGAAACTACTCAGGGCCTTGGTTGGCCAGCAGGGGGCCGGGCATCTTCGAGGCCTCCCTCACATGTTAGCCTCGGTTTCCTCAAAAGTGAGAGCACGTTGAAACTATCCAGCTTCTCCGACTTCCTTAGCTTTGCTCTGTGCTAAAGCATTCCGCAGACGTGCCTTCTGTGGATAACACCAGTGTTATCCACAGGTTACAGGTTAGAGACAGCCTTTTACGTCTCAGACCTAGACTCAGCTGTGCCTCAGTTTCCCCATTTATAAAAGGTACAGATTATGGTATGTATTTTGTTTTTGGTACCGGGAATCAAACTCACAACCTTATACTTGCCAGGCAGGCATTGAGCTAATCCTGGGCCCCAGATTATGGTATCTAGAGGGCAGTGTTGCTATGAGATTAAATAGTGGTGGATGTGGACCCCTGAAATAGGGAGCAAGGTCTCACAAACCTTAGTCGCTATGTTTACTAAGGAAGGCCTAAATAATTTGGAGTAATCTGAGAATATCAGCTTGATGAGAGTACAAGCACCAAAGCATTTATGAAGAAATTCGGTTTCATTGTGCTCAGGCCCTCTGGGTTTCAGCGGAGACTTGCAGGGAGTACAAAGAGCCTGGACAAGAAAGCTGCTTTCTGCATTCAGACTGAGACCTTGAGCCTCAGTCTACTCATCTGCTTACAGAAAAGAGAAGGAAGCTGGGGGTGGTGAGGACCTTCTTGTGCTGATAGTGTTGCCTGAGGATCAGATGGGTAAAGCATCTGATGTCTGGTGGAGTCCGAGTTTGTGCAGGGCAAGCAGAAGGTGTCACATTATTAGGAAGGAATAAAAATGTCTCCACTGTGCCATGTGCAGGCCATCTTTTGTCAGTTCCTTTGATGAAATCCTCCCCCAGCCTTTGTTGGGCTGGTGTTACAATCCTTGCTTTCCCTACCACCCAGCTGACTTTCGGAGTCCCTCTCTCTTCCCTCTCATACAGCTGTTAAGTGTAGACGGGAATTAGAATGTGGATGTGGGTGCCTCTCACAACTGTCCTAGGCAGTGGTTGGCTGGAAGTTAGCAAATGGAGCAGATGTGCAGAGTAGGCCTACGTTAGATTGTCAGTAACAGCATCTGACATATTTACAGAGCTGAAAATAGAGTGAATTGTTAACCCCTGGTAGAAGAGACTGGAGTTGTCTTAATTTTTTTGCCTGTATTTTATAAGTCCCATTTCTAAACTCTTACAACAAAGAATGAAGAAAATTTGAGCAGAAAAAAGGTGTTAAATTCAAAAGAACAAATTGTGAGATCTTATTGCAAGTCTCAGGCAAGGTGGAATTTGGATGATGTCCTATTTTAAGTCACTTATGTTTGCCAGGACTCAGGATGGCACATGAGGTGGAGCTGAGATGGTGACTTTTGGTGTCACGGTCACTTTTCAGGGCTGAGCCTCAGGACACTGCTGAGCTCACTGTTCACCTGGCGTGAGGGTGGGGAAGGGCAGGGCGGTGGAGCACAGGCCTAATGAATCTGCACAGAAACAATTCCTAGTTCATTTGCTTCCCAAATGAAGTTTTGCTTCTGGATCTTTGTTTTTCCAAAAGCAATGCTTGCTCATTACAGGAAGCACAGAAAGTTACAAATGAGTCTTTACCAACTGTAATCTCACAAGGGCTCTCAGATAGCTTGTTGTCTCTGTTCTTGTTATTCATTTCTGTGCGTGCTCATCAATTGATATCTATTTCAAAGATGGGATGCAGGCTAGTATTGTTTTCCTTAAATGATGATGTGATGCTTGCTCATAGCTCACACATTAAAGCATTAATTTAGAAAAAGAAAACAATTTATTATGCTTACTAAAACTTCCTTTTAAAGAGATCTTAGCTGGGCATGATGGCACATACCTGGAATCCCAGCACTGGGGAGGCTGAGGCAGGATTGCTGTGAGTTCAAAGCCAGCCTGGACTACTTAAGTGATTTCAATGCCAGCTTACACTGCATAGTGAGACCCTGTCTCAAAAGAAAAAAGAAGTATTTTAAAAAAATATTAAAATTTGGGGCTATGAATGAAGCTTAGTGGTAGGGTGCTTGTCTAGCACTTGGAAGACCCTAGGTTCCATTACCCACACCAAAAACCAAGCAACTCCCCCAAAGTTTTAAGTTTTTGATTGGAGACCTATTAAAGATTTAATGATGCTTGAATTTTTATTGTGGTTTTCATTAAGTTTGCTCCCAGAGCTACAGAGCAAAGAGAGGTTACAATTGGTGATCTTTATAAGCTTTAGAGACTAGCTGGACCAAAGTTTCCGAGCCTAGTACTAGGTAACATTTTAGAGCCAGCTTTTCATAAATCATGATGATAATCATCAGTGATATGCTTTGCTGTCATGCAACCCAGGCAGAGTGTGCCACTCCCAGAGGTGTCTTTGGCAGCCAGACTGGGGTGGGGCTGATCCTCTCCTGCCACAGCGAGGGCTACCTGTGGGCTGAGGGTTTTTCCTCATCACCATTCACTAAAGCAGGGCTTTCAGCCTTAAGGAGTCTGATTGTTCTTGACCTTAATGACTGTGATTAAAATTATTCCTTGGCAAGCGATTCCTGTGTAACAATGCAGTTTTAAATTTTTAAAAATTTTTTAACATTTTGACTTTTTTATTAGTACAAATTTGTCATACATTTGATCACGTTCATCATAATGTACCTGTACATCATGTATCTTAGTTCTTTTTTCCCTTTGCGTTCTCCTTCCTTTAGCCCTTCTTCTCCTCCCCATTTACATAAACTTAGTTTCTATTTTTTCCCCTTTCATTCTTTTTCCCCTTCTTTCCCTTCTCTCTCCTTCCTCCTTTTTTCCCTTCCCATTTGAACATGTTCTTCCTACTCCCCAGTATCCTCCATTTTGCTCCTTATTTGCCCTTTGGGTTTCTCACATGAGAGAGGCAATGCAATATTTAACCTTGTGTATTTGATTTATTTCACTTAAGATAATGGTCTCGAGGTGCATCTATTTCCCTACAAATGATTCAGGCTTATCTCTTTATGGCAGAGTAGGCCTCCATTATATATATATATATATATATATATATATATATATATTTTTTTTTTTTTTTTTTGTAGCAGATACTTGTTTTGCTTTCAAAGAGTTTACCAGCTGCTTCTCTGAGCAAAAGCTTTTGCAGCTTCTGATTTGGGAGAACAGTGTCTGGCCAATGCAGGAAATATTTATATGTGGCTTCCGAGGTGGTAAAGGCCCATGTAGTGTGCTCAGTTGTTCACATGACCATCCATCCTGTGTCTTGCTCAGTTTTCCTGCCCTGGTCCCCTTTGGATGGTCAGTACAGTTGGGATTCTTCCAGTTAGTAGGATCCTGTAACCCTGACCATAAGAGAGAGTCACAGAGCTTACTACTGGATGAAACTGCAGAAGATAAACTGGTTGACCCCTTGTGTTCTGGCAGATGAGGCCTTGATGCCTGCATTTAAAAGGTGCAGCTCTGGAGAACTGTGTATTTGGAATCCTAGCCTTATATTTTCATTCCTATGTCAACTTCAGGTGCTCATCCTGAAAAAAAAAGTGGCTAAACTTGTACCCGATTTCTGTAGAATTTGCCTGTCATGGTGGCGCTTCTACCTTTTATTGGCATGTGGGTTTTGACTCTCAAAGAAATGCAGGTGAGGTAGTAAACTTCTTGAGGGAGGACTGCCACCTTTGAGGACCATGCACATGTCACAGAGTGTTGAGAGCTGTGGCAAAGCTTAGAGGGCCCCACTAAGTCGTGTGACTCATTGCTGTATATGGTATGTTAAATGAATTGACCTTTCCTTTTATTTCTTTAGTCATCTAGCTCAATGGTAAAGCAATGTGTAGCATGCAAAGAGACCCTGGGTTTGATCTCTAACACTGAAAAAAGGATAACTGAAATCTGCTAAAAATAGCAGTTGTGTCTTAATGAAATGGCCATTTTGAAAAGTAGTGAACTTTTTGTTACTGGAAGCATGTAAGTCAGCATTGGATGATTCTGGAGTAAAAGCCGTGGAGGGTCTGCCCTGGGGAGGGCAGCTGTGCGAGACAGTGTCACACGCAGGGGCCTTTCCGGATCTAGGATTCTGTAATCCTTGTGCTGGAGGCCTGGATTTTAGCTGTGATGTACATTTCCCATCCTCTCCTACTGGGTTTTCTCATTTTGCCTCCGCGCCTCCCCAGGTGGCTCAGTTGTCAGATGCCTGCCCGGATGGCTCCCGGCAGTCAGCCACCTGCGCCCAGCACCTACTCTCACCCCCTGGAGCCAAGCACATCTCGGGCTGATATTAACCATCAACATGATTATGTTCACCCAGGTGAACAAATCTCCCAAGAATAGAAACGTGCGTTTGACAGGTGGCCCTGCAGAGAGACTAATTGCTTTTAGAGGTTGAACGATAAAATACCTAGTTTAATGAGTGAACTGGCTCCTGGTTGTGGAATCTGAGTTGCAGCTCTGTATTGTGACATACACACCAATCTGACTTTTTTTTTCACACTTGGTGTTTCCTGATTTGTGAATGGATTGGTAAGAGGATGTGACATAATCCTTGGGCTTATTTTTAAC